GGGCCTGCTTGGCCTGCCGGCGGCGATAGTCGGGCCTGCGGCCCGACCATTTCTGTCAAGCGATTTGCTGAAAAACATGATCGAATGATGTAGCGGGCCTTCGGCCCGCTTAAACCCGTCGTCTTTGAGTTTGCCCCAAAGACACGAAAAAGGGATGTAACGGTGAAGCACCGCAACTACAACCCACCCTTCTGCTTAGAAAACGTCTTTTAGGGGTGGGGGGAGAGTTTCCTTTCTATTTTGCGGTTTTTAGGCCTATTTCTACAACTTATTGTTCACTATGGCAATTTTTAGCTTATTTTCATCAAGAGAGACCCTCTAGCGCCTCAACGATTACAGATAGAGCGAAACGGACGAAATTTTCGCCCAAAGGGCTCTACTTTGACGAGTTACCTCTTTGTGGTAGAACTAGTCGACTGAACTACCCTGTCGATGACTCCAACACATATTTAGCGACTCAGAAATTTAAATAATAATGAAAAAGGTGAATGTTAAATTAATAGCAGTCCTATTCTTTCGATGCAAACAGATCTTATATAACTAAAGTCAAAGACTCTAAATCAGAAAGAGAAACTCAGATATACAGCTTTTAATTAATTTTGAACGTGAAGTTATTAGTTGGGCAATGTGATTTTTAAATTATTTCTGGCAGACTGATTGCTGTTCTTCCACGTTCACAAAAGTGACTAGAAATGTTGGCTGAGCGATTAGCGAAGTCTATTACTCCAGTGATGATCAAAAAGTTTCGCGTCTGTCTGTCTGTGTGTCTGTTTGTCTGTCAGCACGATAACTCGAGAAAGAATTGAGAGAGCGACCCGGGCGTTTCAGGGTCGTTTTGTGTCATAAAACGTTAACACTCCGTGTTAACAAATAGACGATCCGAATAAAAGAAAATTTAATACAAAATTATTGCTACTAATTAAATACGTTATTGCTTGCTAGAACTAGAGTAGTTACGACTTTTTGTTCTGAGATTCATGGAACAAAATCGGGGACTAACACTGCTTATGAGTTCCCTTGCGAGACCAGGCAGTTGTTGGACGATTGTTCGGCGACGTGGTGATCGCCCTTTGGACGAAACCAGAGGTGCTCGTCGTTGGAGTCGAGGTCTCGGCGGCCCTGCGCCCTGGCCTGGGCCACCTTGCCACCTTCAGGCAGGCCAGGCTTGGAAGAGTGTTGAGTGTATATTGTTTGTGGGGCTGGGAGCGCCTGGATGGGGCGTGGCCTAGCGCACAGTAGTGATTGTTGGCGGGCGGGGGGAAGTTGGGACGAAGCATAACGCACCGCTCCCCCGCGCGCCAAACCTGCTGGTATAGACTGGATCGTCTAAAAAGACAGATCGAGTTCGAAGAAGGGCATTCTAGCTCGAAAATTGGATTTAAAAGAAATCAAAAACCACAGGTCCTAAAAATGACGCGTTTTAAAAATATTTTTTATTGTTTCCTATGGGGTAACTCATCAAAGTAGAGCCCTGTGGGCGGAAATTTCGTCCATTTGGCTCTATCTTCAACCGTTTAGGCACCAGAGAGAGTTTTCTACACGATAATGACCGCAGTATATTTCTATGTTTTTTCTCAGATATTTGTTGGTCTCCGGTAGGGTAACTCGTTAAAATAAAACCCCGAGGAACAAAATTTGTGACTTTTGGGGCGAAAAGCCTACTTACGACTTTGGCCCGACTCGGGTGTCAGCGCCGCAGGCCTAGGTAGATGTATGCCAGGCGCGTCGCAGCGTAACAGTGTTTCGAGAGATATCGCGAAGCCTGTTACGCGAGACGTGGTCTGGCGTACATTTACCTAGTTTTAAAGGAGAAAAAGTCTGTTACTAATTGTGCTCATGTGTCACTAAACTTGTGCACTTTGATTTTGGCATGGCTCTCGTTTCGATCCCCTCGGGTGGAACCTGCAGGAACCGCTCCGGCTCCGATCCCATCGGTTTGGATCCGCTCCGGCCGGCTCCGATCCCCTCGGGCCGGGCCTTTGGCTCCGCTCGGGTTCGGGTCCGCCGGTGGGCCCGGCTTCGCCATGGGGATCGGAGCGGCCTGGATCTGTGTAGCGGCCCTCGTGTCAGAGGTGCGCAGAGGAGCTGAGCGGCCGCCAATCACAGCGCTTTGGTATCGCCTGGGAGCCGGCCCAGCCAGAAACCACCCCGTCTGAGGCTAGACTGCAGGCGAGCCGACGCGCGCTCAGCGGAGGGAGTAGTCTCGAGTAGTCTCGTTCGGGGTGTCTCTGGCCCAGGCGATTCCAGCTCTGCGCACCTCTCACACGAGGGCCGCTAGATCTGTGGGACCCTAACACGAAGTGGGTGATGCAGGTCATTTTATCTATAATAGCGTAACGAATTTTGCGCATTGTCCGCAATAGGGCATTCCACTACAACCCGATCGGAACCTAAAGAAGAAAAGCATGACTACCCGATCCGTTTTCTCCTGAACGCTGATTGGCCAAAGATGGCGTGGCTGTGGCAGTCAGACAATGAGCGTGCAGAGGGTAACAGATCGAGCAACTATGCTTCTTTTCATTAGGTTCTGGTTGGCTTGCAGCGGAACACCCTGTACGTTTTCACCGCTCATTGGCCGTACTCTAGTGTTCACAGCTTGCCTGTGTTTCCCAGTGATGAAGCTGTTGCGGTGCCTCCTGTTGGCGGCCGCCGCCGGCTGCTGCAGCGCCACTTTGACCATCCCGGCAGCTCTGGAGGACCCAGCCGGGTGCGTCCTTAGCACCCTTGCGCCCAGCCTGCGCCTCCCGGGACAGCGGCTGCTCGTGGTTTGCAACGCGCACTGGTGCGACGCCCGCTTCCTGAGTCGGCTGGACGTCCAGCAGGTTGTGGTGACCGGCAGGGACCTCTCTGTGTGGACAGAGTCGCGAGCGCTCCAGCTCATGCCGTCGAACGTCAGCGTGCTGCTCGTGGCCACGGACAGCCTCGAGCAGCTGCGCAAGGTGAGGCCTCTCATGGCTGAGGTAATGCCCCAGACCCGCACGCTGCTGTGGACCAGCACTCGGGCGACGGTGACCCACGCCGAGCTCCACGTCATGATGGCGACCGTCCTCAATCTCACAACCACTGTACCGCACAGATACGTCCGTCTCGCCGTCAGCACGACTAAGGGCACGAGGCTCTTTGCGTGGACCTGGGGCGTCGGCAACGTAGGCTCCCTCACACACGTCGACACGTGGGCGCCAAGGACCTGCCTCTGGCCGCGGGGCGCCGCCCTCTTCCCGGTGCCTTGCACATCGTGGCGGCCTCCGGCCCTGGGCGAGTCGCTCACATATCTGTTTCACGTCCCACGGTCGCCCAGCCTCTACATTACCAAGATGGCCGTCAAGGAGCGCAACATCGTCCTCGAGTACCTACGGCGAACGGCTGGCCTCGACTTCAAGCACCAGCCTGAGCCGCTGGCGAAGGAGTCGGAAGTGGGTCTGAAGTTGATTGTCGATTGCCGCGCTGACCTTCTGACGTCCGTGACCATCCTGGAGAGCAGAATGCTTGAAATCATGGACGCTTCGGTCTGGTACATGGAGAGTTTGGTCGTGGTTCTGCCGGCTGGGGCGGGTCGAGGCCGCACCCCGCTGCACCGCCTGGTGGTGTTCAGCGTGCAGCTCTGGTGCGCCACGGGGGTCGCCGTCCTTGTGGTCGTCACCGTCCTCTGCGCCCCTCGACCGCGAGGCCTGATTCGCGATGCGCTGCAGACTGTGGCGCCGCTATTGACACAGCCGCTGCCGTTCGCCTACAACCAGTACCAGCGCCCTTTGCTCGCCAGCTGGCTGGCCGTGTCCGTCGTGCTGGCGGCTGCGTACCAGGGCCAAGTGCTGAGCCGGCTGACGGTGCCCGACGCCGCCGACGAGATCAACAGCATGGATGAGCTGGCTACCAGGGCCTGACCATCTACACGCGAGGTGACTTCCGCTTACTAGGCTTGCCGCTGCTGCAGAACGCAACTGTGCACAACAACGACTTCTTGGGGTTTGTTGTCGACGCCCTGCTGGAGCGGCGGCAGCGCGTGGCTATCATCGCCCCGAACCTCATCGCGAGGCACCTGGTGCACCACACCCGCGGCCCGGCCCGCCTGCTGCACGTGTTCCCCGTGCCGGGCGTGCGGCTGCTGAGACCGCTGTACTCCACGGTCAGAGGCTCCCCCGTGCAGCGGCCGCTGCGGGCACTACGCCTGCATGCCGGGGGCATCGTCGAGCATGTTCATGAGGCGGCCATACCGCTCGAGTCTCGGCACGTCGCCCCAGCGGCCGCGCTGCGAGCCCTGGCCCTAGTAGACGTCCTGCCGCCCTTCCTCGTGCTGGGCACGGGCCTCCTGCTGGCCACGCTCGAGTTTCTCTGCAAGCTTTGCTCGATCACGACTCTCGTGAAAATCACGCTTCACCGGGACGGGATTCAGGCATGCGGCGCGTCATACTCTCGCGGAGCCCGAAGGCGGTGAGCGGCGGTACAGTAGGGGAACAACTGTCGCACCACTTTCAATGATGAAGAAACGTTAAAATTCATGTAACCCTAACGTGCACATTTTGACACGAGTGCTTGGCTACTAGGACAGCCGACAGCTCAGTCTATCCCGAAAATATGGCAGAGTGGCGTTAAAGGGCGCCAGAGGTGTAAAAACTCACAAAACATAACCACGATTGAAAGCACATCATTTATTGATCAAAAAATTACAAGACACTGATATTATAAAAGGCGATAAAATTAGCTGCTGGTCTTAAGGGGAAAAACAATGTTGTTAAACATACATAGCATACTAACTTGCTATAAATCAGCTCCTAGAGCCAAAACAAAAAGCGCCTACCGTATAGGCAACCCACACCACATTTGCATTCGCGCCGGAAGGGTCGACCACCTAACTGACCCGCGGACAGTCCATTGACATCCTTCAAGAGGCGCAATATTCCCCTGGAACGGACACCCAGGGTGAAGCGGGGAGTGAGGGGAAGCTAGCCGGGCACGCCGCAATCTACGACGCGCAAGGGCCTCACTACATTCTCAGGCCCTCCCCCACAACACGAGCAAAAACAAGCGCAACAGAAAATATAACTACATGGAACCGCCAAGGAAGCCCAGCCGCGCCACTGTTAAAAAAAAGTCTGAAAATTCAGACAATTTCGTAGGAAGCAAGATAACATAGTTAGACTGAAAGTTCGAAAGTTCAGACTGTTTTGTCTGAATTTGTGGTTTGAATTTTTAGTATGAATTTTCAGTTATCTGAGTCTGGATAGCAATTTCATAAGCTTAGTCTGAATTTCAGATCTTAATTTAAGGGGGCATCCTAGTGTAGCCAGCCTAAAATAGAGGTGATTTGCGTAATTAATTGTAGACAACCCATAGTTTTTAGAACAAAACCGAGTGTACCGTTTTGTAGCGCATACTTTTGACTTTAAAACGCAATGTGTATGACGTCGATACGCCTACCCAAAGTTGAGATATCCGATATCCCCTGTTGAAAACGGCACTGCAGCGTTGTCGTCTTTTCATGGTGTACCGGATTCCGGCCACATCGTCGGGCCGTTGAGGTTCCGATTTTTTGTGGATGTTCCTAACACTTGTAGGTATGGCATGAACTAGGATATCTGGAATCGGTCACCTCCTTCATCCCGAAAAAAAATCAAAACTATGGGAGTTTTAGCTGTTTTTTCGATATATCAACTTTAAGCTGCTCGAAAAAATAGTAAAAATTGTCCGATCGCAAATATCCTAGTTCATGCCATAACTACGTTCATACAGAGTCTAAAAATTCTTTGTCGGACTGTGTGAGACCAACGGCTCGACTTTAAATAGGTACACCATGACAAGACGACAAAGCTGCAGTGCCGTTTTTAACAGGGGATATCGGAGCTTTGGGTAGGCGTAACGACGTCATACACATTGCGTTTTAAAGTTAAAAGTATGCGCTACAAAACGGTAAACTCGGTTTTGCTTTTAAAACTATGTGTTCTCTAAAATTAATTACGCAAATCACCCTTAGTTTAGGCCCGCTACACTAGGATGCCCCCTTAAAATGAAATTTTCTTGACGCTCTTTGCCGTTTCCTTCAAGTTGGATTGTAATCGAAGTAATTGGACACAAATTTGTTATTGTACCTTACCTATTCCTACCCGGAGTAGAACCTCGGGCCTTTGGATTGGTAATCTCTCATCCTTGACCACACGTCTGTCATGGGTTTAGTAGTGGGTAAGATTGCGCACAAACTCTTCTCGGGTATTCTCCCTGGCTGTTTTGATTAAAAGGTCTAATTTTGGTTTGATTGAATTATTAAGAAATATTTTTGAGAGGGTAAAGCAAGCATTTATTACATTTATAGATTTTACGATTGAGCCAAAATCAAAAACAATATATATGAGCACTAACGTGGGGCATGAACCCACTAATAATTTAACTCACATTATTTTCTGATCTTAAATACAGCAAGTCAAATCACTGCATAGCATAAGAGTAAATTTATAGAAACACTTGCACACAAAATCTATACTCTAGCCTTTTAAATACATTAATTTTTCAATAGCCAAAAGAATCGTGGCAAAACAAGAAATTTATTAATGCATCCATTGGATTGAAAAGCGAACATGAAGTCAAACAGTCGCAAGGAAATTGATTAAACAATCATTTAAATCATCCAAAAGAAAATAGTGAGAGGCCAAACAAAAATTAAGGCGTTGACACACTATATCAAAGGCAAACAGAAAAACAAAATAGTACAGTAGACAAAGTATATACCATCACATGATACACACTCTAATTCCAGAACATTTACTTGTCTGAACAAATACACTGTACACATACACTGCAAACAATATACAGAAACACTTACAAAAATATACAAAGGTTATACCCTGGGCCCAAGGAAAAGAGATAAAGCGCATACAAGCGCATAGACTCACCTAAGTTGTGACGTCACCATTCATCCTTGCAAATTTCTCACACACACACAATTCACTTTAAGTGCACAAACCGCACAGAACACATAAGTAATGCCATCATAACACAAAGGCATTAAACATTACACAGATCATCACATCACCTTGCACCACAAGAGGTGCTGTGGAAGGAAAGTCACATGGTGGAAGTTGAAGGTTAGGCCCAGGCCATTGGCCTAGGTCAAGGTCAGGTTGCAGTTACATCTTGAAAGCAGAACGGCGGCAGGGGAGTGGAATCGTAACTTAGCCGCTCATGATGGAGGCTAATAAAGTGTCTCTTTCACCCACGGTAATGGCAGACGCCATGTTGTACCGATTTCAATGCACACTGTCTCAAACTCAGTAACGAGCCACGGGTAAACAATTATCCAGCCCTGGTCGAGAGCGCAGGGAGGAATGACGAGGCACGGCACGGCGTGTCCGCCGGTCAGCTGTTGGGTGCTCGGGTGTTGTGCGCGCAGCCCGGGGTTGGAGTGGTGTGAGGTGAGACGGTATGAAGGGTGGCCTACCTCCACGGCGGCAGGCACGACTTTTCGAGGAGAGCGTGTCACGTCCACGACAACAAGACTTAGGGGTCACCGACGGCTACCGGCCTGATCCTACCGGTATGCTCCCGGGAGTAAACTAAATACTCATACTTTTCTTGTCTGAATTTCAGACTCAGACTTCGTTTCAATCAATACTCTGAATTTTCACATTTTCTTGACTTAACTCTTAATTCAGATCTAGAACAATGAAATTTTAGACGTTCACTGAAAATTATGACAAAATTGTATGAAAACCCTATTCAGACAGCAAAGTCTAAAAAAGTTACTCTGAATTTTCAGGGTTTTTTTAAACAGTGTTGCTGAAGATAAGTGGTTTTTTCATTCACCTTCCATTTACTACAGTCAATTTTTTCGTTACTTAAATTATTTCTCTTTTGAAGGAAACTTACTAATGAATCTTGCTTACTGTTAGAGGCCTTTAAATTTAAAAGATCAGAATATGTTTTTTTTTATTTCATGTCAGCAACAATAAGGCACCAGTGATAACCGTTTACATGATAAGGCATCAATTGTACTTTATTCCCAATATTAATGTTACACAAAACACTGCGACTATCAACAGTACCCTGCATTACTTGAGTTACATCACAACAGTAGACGTTCACCAAATCTCGTCTGATTGCATCGGTCATGGACATGTGCAAAACTGCGTCAATTATTGAGATGCTCACAAATTCACCATTCACAATATCAGTGAACGAGCTTAGATCAATCTTCATAATACCAGAACTAAAATTATTGACAATGCCAATGATGGGTGCCTCAGTGTCCTCGTCAACTAAGAAGTAGTTAATGTTTTTAAAGAGGCCGTTGTCATATCCGGGGAAGAGTAGGTCTTTCGCTGTGGGCGCCGTTTCAATTTTCTCTAAAATCTCTTTTCCTTTGGAAATTTTTTTTTTTTTGCATATAGCACCCTAAACTCTTAAGCATTCAAATCGGAAAACTTCTCAGTCAACAGGATACATTCAATAAACCTAAGAACACCACAATTCTGGTTTCTTGCAAAGGAGTTCTTATCGTCTCTGTTCCAGGAAATCTGATGTTTATGCCCTTATTTTGCACGTAAATCTCAGAGAGATTTTTCATTTGCCTGTACATTGTTTCATCGATCCCTGCAGGATCATACAGTGCAAACGTTTTTTCTTGAAAGTTGGCGAGACACAAAACCCAATGATCGGGCAAAAGGTAAGGCATCAGGAACGCACTAGTATTTAAGTAGATGTATCTCATTAACGGAGACAGTTGACCTGCACGGGCACTGGAATATCTCTTTCGTTTCCAAAGATGACAAAACACACACTTTGTCCTCTGCTACATTTATATTGTCTAGAAGACAGTGTACACGTGTGTCAACAGTTATTGTCGATAACGCAGTATCAGTCAGCAGCTCTGTAAAGTTAACAAGAGTTAGATACCTGCCGAGAGCACCGTACACCAACACAGGACTGTCTTTACAACCTCTGCATCTACTTCAAAGGTATTGAGCCTCGCTGTTAGACAGAACATTTATATATTTTAATCCATGTGGAAAAGAAACGGTAGGAACGGCATAGTGGCCATAATAAGTAACACGCAGTGCTTCCACTTAGGTAGTGTGGTTTACATCGAAAGGCGGGTATTCTTCGGTATTAATATCTGGTTGAAAAATGGCCTGCAGCATCTTCTTGGCGGACTTGCTTTTAGAAACATCCCTCAGCACGTTTAGCTTTTCAGCTGGCCTTTTCTGTTTCACTGTGGGACTCAACCATTTTTCTACTGCACGTTCATTGTGAGTGTGTGAAACATCATCCATCCCATGTTCGTCATCTGCAAGTGTAGTCTTGCTATCACCGAAAGCCTTATGGATATGACGACCTTCAAAATGCGATTTTGGCCAGAGTTTGGTTTCCATATTTCCTCTTACTTTCCTCTTCGCTTCCCTAGACTTCTCGGCTATGGCGAGGAGCAAGAATCACAGCAATTATTATGTAGTTTGGCAGTTTCAGTGTTTGGTTCAACCTTGGCATTCCTAGAAGCGCTGACAGAGCGTACTGAGTATATTCAGGTCGCTCCGAGACGAACATGAGCGACCCCAGTACGCTTTTGATTCATCGTCGGGGATTTTTCCTTCCCAGGCAGTGTTGCCAGACTCTGGCCGCTAGGTGGCGGTACGCTCCGCTTAGAAAGGCGGTACTGGGGGGGGGGGGGTCAAGGTCAGGTTGCAGTTACATCTTGAAAGCAGAACGGCGGCAGGGGAGTGGAATCGTAACTTAGCCGCTCATGATGGAGGCTAATAAAGTG